GCATAGACTCAGACAGTATGTCGGTTTTGAATCCAACCGGATCCGGCCATCCGACGGCGAATCTGGCTCGGGGTTTAACTCGCGGCCGCACTGCGCGTTAATGACACAAGTCCGCGCGACCCGCGCGCGTATAGCTACGGGGGGATCCCCGCGAAGGGCTCGGAAAGCTAGCGCCGTTACAGTTGGCATCCCTGTGTCCTCCGCAATCTCGTTCGGCTCTGCTCTGCTCTCACGCACCGTTTCCGGAACTTGCCCACTTGGATTCGTTTTGGAAATCGTGCGTGCGATGTGGCCGCGGTCGGTCGCGTGCGCGGTGTTGCGCTCGCCGCCCGCCTTTGAGGAACCCTCCGTGGGGTCGGAGCTCAGCTCAACAACCCCGTTGTCCCCCCGCCCTCGTCAAAGATGACGTCCAGGAGATCATGATCCTCCCGTCGCTCTCCCCGAGCACCCGGTAGGCCTTGAAGTCCGGCTCATACCCCACGAACACACACCGCTCGCTTACCGAATCCAACTTCCGTCATCCTTGCTTGGGGACGTGCCTGTAGGCTCGCGCTCCAAACGTCCGCATGTGCCCAACGTCGGGCTTCTTGCCGTTGAACGCCTCCCACGGGGTCCTCTCGTGCCATGCTTATCGGGGTTCGGTTTCGTGTGTAGTTGGCCGTCACAACGGCTTTCACCCAAATCTCTTTGGGCAGCCCCGAGTCCTCGACCATTGCCCGGACCTTCTTATCCAATCGCTAATTGATTCGCTCTGCCAACCCGCTCCGCTCGGCCGTGTAGCGGGCGGTCTTCTCGCGCACCGTCCCCTTGTCCCCAAAAACATCCGTGAGGGCCTTGTTAATGTACTCCTTCCCTCAATCCGTCCGCACCGACCTCAACTTCTTCCCCGTTTGCAACTCCAACCGCTTAATTAGGTGCTCAGTCAACTTGGCCACCTCGCTCTTCTGCTTCATGGGGACTACAACCGAGAGTTTGCGGTGGTCGTTCAGAAACGTGGCGAAGTACCGGCTTTGATCCCCCGACCGAGGGAATCGGCATCGGCCGCAAACATCCATGTGGACCAACTCGAGAGGCTCTATTCTCACCAACTCCGACACTTGGAAAGGAAGCCGCGTTTGGTTCCCCGTGATGCACGGCGTTCAAACCGAGGTTTTGAGCGACCTGAATGCCCCTGGTTGCTTGCCAACCTCCTCAATGAGATTGTCTTGCACCATCTTCGCCAGGTTCTCATACCCGGCGTGCCTTGTCCGTCGATGTCACAGCTCGGCCGCTCCGGCTTGCTCACAAGGAAGCATGCGTCTTTTTCCGGTGCGCGCCCTCCTGCTCCATTTCCCGAAAGCGGCCCTTTGTAAGCCACTTTTGGAGATGGTGCGTTCTCCGCCTGATTGACCACGTAGCCTCTTCATTTTCCGAGCTACAAGGATTTTCTCCCCGTCAACCTCAAGCTCACAGTTGGCGGTCTCCTTAAACAACACTAAAGCGACCGCGGTTGCTTTGCTCACCGGAATAAGGTCTGCCGCAACCCCAGAAACGTACACCACGTTTTGCAAAGTGACGAGACAGTCTTCCGTCGATGTTGCACACAGCAGCTTAACCGAGCCGCTCCCCTCTGCCCACAAGGTTCCCTTGTCTCCGAACAAGAACTCTCGGCCACTCCCCCCGAACATTTCAACGGTCTCAGATAGGCTCTTGTCCACGGTTAGGTACTGTAAGCTACCCGCATCTACGAGCCAGTCGTTGGCAGCTACCCCCTCAATCACGCTAAAGGCCAATCCCTTGGAAGGGTTTCCTTCCATGTTTTGCTCCAGCTTGTGCTCCATCCCGTCCGACTTCCTGCACTTTCGGGCAATGTGACCAAGGTCACCGCAATCGTAGCCCTTCGGCCCCGGCTCTCATCCTTGCCGTGGCTCTTCTCCTTGCTTCCTTTCTGCTGAGCTACATAAGCCACAGCGGAGTCCGACCCACCACCACCCGCTTCCTTGCGCCGCTAAAATCCTTGCTCATGCACCAAGAGCTTCGGCGGAACCCCATCCACCGAGTTCAAGCCGCCCTCCAAAGCCATTATAATTGTTCTCAGGGTAGTAAACGAGCTCGGCAATCCCGCAAGCTCCAAGCCAACTCATTCGGCTTCCGCTCGAAAGTGATAGCTGTCAAGTTTCCAAAGAATCCTTTGCCCGAGCCACGTACATAGTCACGGGTTTACTCGACTTCATCAGAGAAAAGATACCGGGTGCCGGGTATTTTCTCGCCGTCTTCTTTGGACCGCCGTCCCCCTCAACTTAATCCTCGCTCCTAATTATTGCCTCCCCCGTAGAAGTAGCCCCTACACCGGGCTGAGTGTCGGCATGCCTCGTGGGGATAAGACCTACGTCCATCCAAGTCGAAAGGCTCATACAACTAGGGCTCTTTCGACAAGGGCTTACACGACTAGGGCGACTAGGATCTTTTCAAGGAGAGTTGTCATTACCTCGTTGACGTACTCCCCGCCTCGATCCGTGTGCACCGCCTTGATCTCCTTCCCGGATTGCAACTGCAAGCGGGCAGACACGCTCTTCGTGAACGCCATGACGTTGCTCTTTTGCTTTATTGGTTGCACCACCAAAACCTTCCTATTCTCGTAGTCGAGGAAGTGTTCAAGTATTTACTTGGCCCTTTGACGTCAACAGCGCAGGCCCGCACACATCCATGTGCACGAGTCCGAGGGGGTTTTCAATCTGCTTGGAGTCGACTCCTTGGGACATGGATCTCGGCTTCGCTTCCTCATAATGCAATGATCGCACATCAAGGTGTTCGCTTCTCAAAACACCCCGAACCCTCGACCATCTTGGCCAAGCTCTCTCATAGCAAGCATGCTTCAACCTTCAATGCCAAATCACCGGGCTCTCGGCTCCCGGCACAAGCAAGCATGTCCCCCCATGTTGCCTTTGGTCGGCAAATCATCGACGTGCGCTCCGCATTCTCCTCCGCCCAAAGCATGATCTCCATGGACAATTCGCACACCTCCCCGCGGAACACAACCTTGGCCCCTATTGCGGTTGCTTTCATCACCGAAAAGAGTATCTTGGCAGACGCCACAACGCGAAAAAGTTACTCCGCTCACCAGAGGGCGTCTTGCATCGCAACTCCGCCATACCTCAAGCAACCCTTTGTTCCCGAACTTCATTGCCCTTGTTCCTTGCTTAAGCATCTCCAACGTTGTGAACAAGCTCTTGATCGCCGTCATTGTATAGGCCTTGCTTTGGAATCAAGAAATCCTAATCCGGCATCTGCTCCCTTCCAGCTACAAAGGCAAACCCCTTGCCGGCCCGCAATTTCCCCCGTCTTTGGGCAATGATCTTTCTTGGAGTGACCTCTAGATTTGTATTGTGGTATTCGTCGTCGGGTCTTATCGTAGTGCCCCGCACTCTTGCTCATCACTCATCGATGGTAATCGCATTCGAAGAGGAAACACGAAGTGCCTCACGAGCGGCTGCCTTCCCTCTACACACTTCTCTTTGAATGATATATAACACGAGAAACACTATTGTCTCAAAGATTTCTTCTTCACTAGGCTCACTAGCCTGCTAGGCTCACTAGCCTACAGCTTCTCCCGACCAACCTGCTAGTTCTTGTGCTATCTCAATGAGACTAATCTCACTGACAACAGACAGACCAAGTTACACTTTTACATTTCAGTAGAACTAGCTGGTTGCTTGGAAGAAGCTGTAAGTCACACACGCGAGTAGGCTCACTATGCTAGTTCACACTCACACTACTAGTAATAGTCTCAGCATTCGATGTCCTCATTTGCGGCGCACATTGACAGTCCTCTCAATTGCCTAACCTCCAAGATATAACCACCTCACTGCCGTGCACGCACGCCGGCGCTCACTGATTCAAAACCCTAATCAAAGTAATTCGGTTGACCACAATCACCGAATCTCACCATTTTTGATAACCGCGGCGGCTGCACATGTTGGTGTGTCTATTGCACTGCCC